AAGAAAGAAAGAAAGAAAGAAAGAAAGAAAGAAAGAAAGAAAGAAAGAAAGAAAGAAAGAAAGAAAGAAAGGGCTAAACAGATCAGATCAAGCTTTTTTTAGAGCTGGGGCTAAATTATCAGAATCCAGGTCTCAGATTCCCAAAGCTGAAGGCATGGCAGGGAAACTAACTTCTGGTGAACATGCAATTACACAGCCTGAGAATCTGTAAGTGGGCCAGATGTGATGGTATAGATGAAGAAAAGGAGGCTCAGAGCCAGTAGTAGATCAGCATTAATTTGTGGAGCAAGGATTTTGTCCAGGTCTTTTTGAAGGCTCAGACTTTTCGTATTGTTATGTCACAGTGACTACATCTGAGAATGACTTAAAGGAAACGAAACTTGTTCACTGTTATCCATATCAAGAAACTTGGTGTAAGTAAAAAAATATTCAAGTGGATAAAAAAAGGGTGGAGTTGTAATTGGGCACAAGGAATTTCAAAGTATGTGCCTACATATGAATATCATCCATCATGTATGTCACTGTAGCCCTGATTACTAGAAAGTTCTTTCCAACACCCAAATGGACCTCACTCTACCTAGTGATCTTTCACCAAGGAACAAAGTGGTGTCATCACATTCGTTCCTTGATAAAATTAGATGTCCACTGTTGGTGTGACCAGTGCAGTCTGGGCCATGACCACTTATAACCTCTCTTCTCCTGGGTGACATTGGAAGACCCCATAGCTTTCCTACTGCTGCTTTTACATGGAGCCAACTGATTATTTCCAGTCCTCCCAAGTCCTCCTCCATCTTTATGGACCACAGTTGACAGTCTAATAGACCCCAGAGTCCAGGCAAGGGTTGCAGGGTGGGTCTGTGAACTCCAGAAATTTTAGGCAAAATTGTTGTGTCTGAACAAAGGGGCATACATCTGGAAAGAGCATTTCATTTTTACTAGATTTTAAATGTAGCCTATTACTCCCAAAATGATAGGAAATACAACTTTAATTTGATCAGCAACAAAATGGATTTAAAATATAAACTCCAAAACTGATTACTTTAAAAAATAAACACTCAGCTAGCAATAAACACCCTTGGTGCTTCGATTGTGGTCTCTAAATACCATTTCCCACTAAAAGAAACCTACACTCCTTGAAGAAATGGCTGATTCCAGATTTGGAACAGGAAATGCACAAATGAGCATAAAATACCTAATCACACCAGAAAGCAAGGAAGCCATAAAAGACTTAGGTTATGGCACAAGACCCAGGAGCCTTTGAAGATGGGACAAAGATGGAACAAAGAGCGTCAATAAGAATGGTGTCTATAGTGGACTGAAATATATCAAATCTGTTTAAATCCATGAGATTATAACAATACAAAAATGACTCATTCTTCACCTTTGGTGGATACTAGGGACCCATTTCATCATTTTGAAAAATTGTAAATAGTTAAGTTTTAAATCTGCCTTTCTAGTACTAGCTATACATACTTCAGGGTAATCAAATGAGGAAACATTTTTTTTTATGGAAAGATCCAAGTTAATAAATGATGAAAGAGTGATAGAATTAGAGTAATACCATTTTACAATCCCTAATGAAATAATGGGTCTAAATAAAATAATTATCAATGACTGCTAGCATCCTCCAGAGAAATAACTAGATGTGCTTCCTTAAGTGCTCAATAACTCTTGAATCTGAGCAACTTCTAGATACAACTCTCTATTTTTAGGTAATACAAGAGTTAGAGGAATATTTTATATTATTATTATTATTATTATTATTATTTTTAATCCTCACCCGAGGATATTTTTTTCCATTGCTTTTCAGAGAGGGTGGAAGGGAGAGAGAGATAAACATCAATGTGAGAGACACAGCTGTTGGTTGCCTCCTGCATGTGCCCCAGCCAGGGTCGGGTATCGAGCCTGCAACCAAGGTACATGCCCTTGACTGGAATCAAACCCAAGACTCTTCAGTCCGAAGGACAATGATCTAACCACTGAGCCAAACTGGCTAGGGCCAGAGGAATATTTTAAACACCAACAAACTGGGAAATGCTATAGGAAAATAATCCTATTTCTTCAACAAATAAATTGCAACAACAAAGAAGAAGAAATGGAAGGCTTATATTCTGGAAAACACCTTCTTTCTGGCATTTGTGCTGTAGCAGGCAGGTCCTCCTTGGGGAGGCAATTCCTTCTGAATTACATAGGAAGCTCCATGCCCAGGCCCAGGGGCTTCTGCCCTCCCCCATTCCCCTTCTTTTCCTACATTAGTAAACAACAGGGGAATTAATCAAAGCTTCAAAGGCTGGTGATAACAGGTGGTGACAGATTGATGCCCTGCAGCCCAGGTGAATAGCAGCATAGTGGCCAAGATAGACTTCATGCCAAAGAATGGTTTTCACTTCTCAAAGGAGAAAAACAAATGAATTTCTGGTGTATGGACTCAGGCACTGGACACCAAAGTGGAATGCTGTACTGTTCTTGAATTCTTGGTTATAGCAAAGAAGAAATAATGTAAAGAAATAAAATGCCTTCAGAAATTGAGGGGAAACATGCTTGGTAGCAGAATCACCGTTTTGGAGGGTCTCCAGTCCAATTGCCTTGCCTGGTGGGTAGAGGGGACACCCTCTACTCACCTTTCCCTGCAATTCTGGAAGCCTTTGCTGTGAAAAGAGCTGAACTTCAGAGCCAGCTGGAGGTGTACATGGGGCAAAGACATTACCAATGGTCAGGGCACTCTCATTCTCTAGGAGCCCAATCTCTGCAAGGATGGCACCTTAAAACAATCTTGGGGCGAGGGCAGCAAAGGGTAGGGTACTGGGTAGGGCACTACCAGCCTCTTTGAGGACAGGACAGTGGGAGCTCTGAAGCATTCCACCAGCTCCAAATAACTGAGTGGAGTGAGCACGGGACTTACACATTCATACCACTGGCCCCAGTGCTAACTATGGAGCCTGGGATCTGGGCAANGTCCAGAGCTCAGACTATGGAGCCTGGGATCTGGGCAAGGGCAGGAATTTACAGCCTCATTCACTGACTCAGTCTTCCCCAAATAATCCCACCCCCAAAGGCCCACAGACCTCAAGGGGCAGAGGTCACAATTTTTTTTTAATCCTCACCTGAGGACATTTTCTCCATTGCTTTTCAGAGAGAGTGGAAGGGAGAGAGAGAGACATCAATGTGGGAGAGACACATAGTTTGGTTGGGATGGAGTGTGGAACGGAGGCACGCGCCCCTGGTCAGAATCGAACCCAGGACCCCTCAGTCCGCGGCCGACGCTCTAACCACTCAGCCAAGCCAGCCGGGCAGAGGCCACAATTCTTGATGTCACCTGAAACACCTTCCGCCTGCCCTGCCTCCTTGCCTGTTCCGTGGTTGCAAGAACTTTCCTTCCTCCAGGGCGCCTTCGGATCAGATCTCCAGGCCGAGACCCACCCGACGGGCCTGACCCAGGGGTGCGGCCCAGTCGTGCCAGGACAGCTCCAGGCTGTCTCCTGGCAGGGGCGGGCCGATTCGTTCGCAGGCCTGGCTGGGGGGCAGAGCGGCTGACACCCTCATCCAGGAGCAGCAGGGAAGCACCAGCCTTTGGGTGGGGAGCAGTCAGGACTAGGGGGTCGATGTGACTGGGGACTGACTGACTGACTGACTGACTGACTGACTGACTGAATGAATGAATACATGTCTGAATGAATCGCGATGATGGCAGAAGGTGGTGGTGCTGGACTACCGGAGGCGTAGGAAGGAGGGTGCCCTCCGCCACCCTGATGCCGCCTGGACGTCTCTTCCGCCCGCGCGGACCCCCTGCGCTGAGCAGACGGCCCGGACGACGCGCCCGGGCGCGGCGGGAACACCCGACAACCCGCGAGGCGCCGGGGTTGGCGACGGCAGCCCTGGAGCTGAGTCTGCATTCCAATGGCGGGAAGTGCCTGCCCGCAGGGCAGAAGGCACCTAGGCGCCGGGACCCCACCCCGCCCCTCGCCGCAGCCCCTGGTGCGGGGAGCCCAGCGTGCGGGGCTGCAGCCCTTACCTGCCCGCCTCTGCGGTCTCGCCTCGGCTCAGAGCAGTCATCACGTCGCCTCCAGCAAGAGCCCGGCACCCAGCGGCTGGCCTGCGCACCCGCTCCGCCCTCGCCCGCTGGAGGGCCCGCCCCCTCCAGCCCATTGGCTGCCCCCACAGGATGGGCCCTGCCCATTGGCCGGTCCTTCCCCCTCTCCAGACTCGAGGCGGGGCCCAAGCACCGCACAGATGCCAAGGCCCCTTTCCTGGGTCTTTACCTCCCGCCCAGCACAGCGAGGGCCTTGGGTCCCCTCCTCGACCTTCCTCTTCACGCAGTCTGGGAGCTTGGTGCTCTCCGCAGCAACCAGTTCCAGCCCTCCTCCAAACCCTCCCCACACTGAACCCAGGGTAGCTTTCAATTTCTCTCCACACCAATTAGTGAGGGCCTGAGTGGGGAACACCAGAGGGTGTTGTACATGACAGTCGGACAAACTGGGAGCTAAAATGCTGTCACGAACTTTTCCCAGAGTTGGAAACTCAGTGCGGCCCAGGCAAAAAGCTTTTGGAGAAAGCTGGGAAGAGCTGAAGATGGCCAGGAAATCAAGAGTGGGGAGGCACAGGCAGAGGGCTGAGATTGGTGGTTACAATGAACTGGGCCTTGAGAATGGGATCAAACTCGCTTCCCCCAACTTTTTGGCCCCTTTCCTCCTATCCCCACCAGGTAGGGCTTAATCCTTGCGAGTGGTCAGGAGAGGGGAAAGGTACAAGCCAGATTTGGTTCCATTCCCAAACCTCTCCCACCTCCTTCACCCAGCTGTATCATGGAGGGCAGGGACTGGAAGACAGAGCACAAATGAGCCCAAGTTTGAAACTGTTCTGGGAACAGGGAGCAGCTGTCTCAGGAGCCAGGTCTCGTCCTACAGCTCCCATCAGGGGCCACTACAGCATGAAGGCCTGAGGGGAGGGCAGGGCAAGGACCACTTCACTCCATTTATTCACCAGAGCAGGAGGAAGGGGTTTCTTGTTACTGCCCTCTCATCTTTGATTCAAAAAGCCATTAAAATTTCCCCAGCTGCAGCCCTGGCTTAGTGGCTTAGTTGGTTGGAGAGTAGTCCTTTGCACCAAAGGGTCACAGGTTTGATCCGAGTCAGGGTGCATACCCAGATTGTGGGGGAGGCAACCAATCAATTCTTTTCTCTCTCATATCCTTGGGTGAGGATTAAAGAAAAATAAATTTCCCCAGCTGCTGCCTTTTTTTGGTATTGATTTTAGAAACATTGCTTGCTTCCCAACCAGGGATTGATCCCACAACCTTGGTATGTGCCCTGAGTAGAATCAAACCTGTGTCCCATTGGTGCACAAGACAATACTCCAACCGAGCCACACCGGCCAGGGCCGCAGGAGCTTTTACACAGCTGCTACACCTCCTTGGAGTGCAGAAGGGGGCAACCTATGCAAGTAAGTCAGATACTGCTTTCTCAGAATCTTTGTACTGTGGAGATGGACAGGATGACAGGTGGCCTGAGCTGTTTGGGAGCCCCACCAGAAGCCTTGAGGTTCATGCCATTTTCATCTTACTCAGAGGGCAGGGATCACCTCTCCCCCCACCCCCTTCAGAAAAAAGAGGCAACAGGTGCTTCAGCTGCTGTTTATTGACATACAGGTAGGTCTATAGCAACAGGCCTGGAGGCGGCTGCAGTAGTGGGGAAAATGAAGGTGGAGGGTGGAGTGTTTGTCTGCAGTTACAGCTGAGTGGAGTGCAAGAACAGAGATGCACAGTGCACAACAAGATGGGAGTGGGGGCTGAGAGGGTNGATGGGAGTGGGAGCTGAGAGGGTTTGAGAAGCAAGTGAAGGCCAGGGCCAGAGTCTGCTGAANCAAGATGGGAGTGGGGGCTGAGAGGGTTTGAGAAGCAAGTGAAGGCCAGGGCCAGAGTCTGCTGAAACTAGAACCACTGCCCTCTCTAGCTGGCTATATGCTAACCCCAGGCCAGGCTTGGGAGTTCTATGAGTTTCCATTTCTACAGGAACTGAACGGAGTGCACAAAGGTGAAGCAGGAGCTGTTGCTTTCTAAGTTAAGCTCTGGAGCCTCCAGTCCTGTACCCCTGCCTCTTGCTTGGGTGGGGTCATAAGATGGGCAGCCTGGCTCTGGGGTACCTCACCTGAGCAGGATCTTAAAGATAGCAATGTTTTACAGAGGCCTTAATCTTCCTCCCTGGTGTCCCAGTCCACCAGTGCCACACTACAACCCCAAGTGAGCACTACAAGCATTGCTGGCCTAATGGATGGGTTGGGAGAAAGGGATGGGACAAGGGCTGGAGGAGGGGCTCTGGGGCCCATCAGGGCACAGGCACTACACGCATGGTGTTGGTGAAGCCAGAGCCAGGACGCCACCCAGTCAGCACAATGACCACGTCTCCCTTCTTGAAGAAGCCTCGGGCCTTACCTGAAGGAAGAGAACAGAGTGGGTGAGTAAATACCAAGTCAGGCAGGTATGAGACATTGCCCCACAGCCAGAGACAGCAAGCAAGGCTGGCTATTACTTCTTTACACCACAAGGTGGACCCAGCTTCACAGCCCAGGCAAAGGGGATGAGGCAGTCCTGAGATTTCCTTATCACTCAGATGGCAGAGTTGGCAGAGACCTTTGGACATCATTTTATACTCTGGAGGGTGGAGAGCCTTGCCCAAAGTCAGAGCTAGCTGCTCCCGCTTATCCCATGGCATCCTACACTTACATAGGCACAAAGGCCACATCAGTCCATAATCTGTGTGTGGGCCACCCCACAGTGCAGGAGCTCTGGCCATTTTATTAAAAAGGAAATAAAACACGTCACTAATGAGCAGATGCCAAAGAATGGACAATCCTGATTATCCAGGATCCTTTGGCTTTGGGCTCTAGACTTGAAAAGTGACGAAACAAATGGCTGCTCAGCTCCACAACTCGAAGGCCCCTCTTCCTTACTGGGCTCAGCCCAGGACTTCAGGGAAGGGAATGGAGGAAATCAAAGAGAACGTTCCCAATGAGAGCGGCCAGGGCTCTTACACCCTAAGGTCTGCATGTTCCCCTTTCCATAGCATCCCAGAGAGAGCAGTGTGCAAGCACCCCCAACCCAGGCTCTAGCCCTTGCTCCCAGTCACGCACCAACATTCATGGCCAAGTTCACCCGGAGGTCCACGTCCTCAGCCCAGGCCTCCTGCACTGGGTCCTTACACACCACAGGGAAGATGCCACGGTACAGGTGGGCCTGGCGAGCTGTCTGGTGATTACGGGTCACAGCAATGATGGGAGCACGGGGGCGGTACCTGGCCACCTGGTGAGCAGACCTGAGAGGAGATGAAGAACAGGTAGAAGAGACTATTAAACTGTCCCAAAAGCCTCCCAGGAAGCCCCCTCACCCTCTAATTCAATTCAATATGCCAGCCTGAGGCTCTGGCCATTTCAACATCTACTTCCTGGGCCCCCTGTAGGACCTGGGAACTGCCTCCCATGGCACATAACTCCTCTTCATAGCTGTGTGACCTGTTTTGCCCTCCACCCCTCCCCACAGGCGAGGGCCCCAGGATCCTACTGACCCAGCATGGTCAGTCTCACCCACTTTCCCCACATGGCCCACAGCTGGCAGAATGCCCCCTCCAAATTTTTCCATTCTGGCACAGGAAGGCAGCTCTGGCTCAAGCTCACCAGCACCCATTTCTCTAGATGCCAGTAACTCCTACAAGCCAAGCAGCATGTGAATAGCACTTGACTCTTGATAGCTGCAAAGAACAGGAACAGAGCCTACCAACCCCCCAGAAATCTATAACCCAAGCCACCTTCCCTCCTATCTTCCCCCTATCGTACACGGCCTCCAGGTCCCTGAAACAGTCCCAGCAACTGAGCTCTAGAGATCGAGTCAAACCTGAGTAAGTGAGGGCAAGATCAGGAGCTGAAATTGCTGGTGTGGGACGCTCTGCCTGTGCAGGTTCCTCTGGAAGGCAGGGGCCCCTCTGAAGCCCGTGCTGGGTATTTCCTGTACACCTGCAGTTGCAGATGTGTTGGGGTAGAGCATGCAGAAGGACTAGGCCCCAGAAGGCAAGCTATGAGACCATTCAACAGGTATCAAGGAAACCTAAACCATGTTATAGCAGAGAATGCCCTGCTTAAGGCCTGGCCTATACAAGACTTTTTCAGAGGGAAGCAATTGCTGAAATCAGGATGGGCTGAGAGTGAAATCCAAGAAGACAGGAGCTAAAAATAGCCAGATAGCAAAGGTTCGACCTTTTCATAAAGGTCAACCTCAATGGCTGGAGCTGTTTATCCTAAGCCCTCTGCTGAGGGAATCTGCACAGATCTCATGTGTTTAGGCAGCGTCCCCTGGGGCTCCTCAGTGCTGGGGACTGCCTGTCTGCTCCTCTTCCAGGAAACCCAGCTGCCTGTGGGCAGGGATGAGGAGCACACCCCAAGACTGGGGGAATGAAAGATGATAACTCAATGTCTAGGACTAGGAAGGGATCCCAAGTCCGTGGCCAAACACAGGCCTCAGCTTGGCTGCATGACAACATGGTGACCTTTCCTGGGCCAGAAATCACTTGTCTCTGGAGTTCAAAGATAGAGAGGGACCCATGCACCAACCAAAGAGCATGTTAGTGAATAGCACTAGTTTTCCAAACTGAACTTTTAAAGAGGACACAGTAACTGAAATAAGCAAAGCTGGTGGTCTTTTACTATTTTAGAAAACCAGATTTTAAATACCAAGTCATCAATTGTAATCTGTCTATCTGTAGTTACACGGTGAAGTCTTGATGGTGTAAACTTGCTTTGGATCCAAATGGTTCCCCATGCCTTTCCAGTGCTGCCTGGAGTCCTTTGAGCCAGGGAATGGGCTCTGCTCATTCCCAGATGTTGGCCTGGGGGCTGAGGGAGCTCCTTCCCTGCAGGGTCCAGGTGGCAGGCAGCAGGGTCTTACCTTGGCTAAGTGCCATCTGAACATCGTTCAATGCACTGCTCCCAGGAACCCCAAGGAAAGGTGTCACTGAGCAGGGCATTCCCAGGGAGCTGCTGCCACCTCCTACCTGCCAGACTTGGTGAGGACGATTATGGCCCCACTGCAGCACTTGAAGGAGGCCTCCACGGCGCCCACGGCGGCAGCTTCTGTGGGGTCGCTGGTAATGGGCGCCAGGCGGCGGAGTTCCTCAAATAATTGCAAGTGGTAGATGGCGGCCTCTGCCTCACGGGCAATCTAGGGGAGCAACATCCGTCCAGAGGAACGAGATGGGGACAGAGCTTTGTCAGAGGTGTGTCACAATGGGAGGAGGGGAAAAGTCGCACAGACAGCTGGTGAGGAACACGTCCCTGGGTGCAAAGGCCAAGAGGAACCCAATCACTGCAGGTTCTGAGCTGACCAAGATCAAGATTCACAGGAACCACTCTTCACCAAGTGTCTGTGACACCACCTGTGCCTACTGAGCGAAAGACCCTCTGGTTTTGCCCTGGCCTGAGCTCCCTTGACTAGCTTCCTGCAGATGAAAAAAGAGGCTCTGAGTCCAGGCCTCGGGTGCAGGGCTGGGCCCTGGCTGTTTTCTAGAGCAGCTGGAGCAAGAGGCTGGTTATCCTACAGAGTTACCTGTCTTTAGGGCCCTACCTGCCAGACTCCGTCAGAACTATCAAAGCTGCTGCTAAACACTTATAAGAAGCCTCCACGCTGCCCATGGCCATGGCTTCCATGAGGTCTGTGGAGTGACTTGAGGCTCGCACAAGTTCTTCAAACAGCTTGCGGTGGAACATGGCTGCCTCAGCCTCACGAGCTATCTGTAAGGTTTAGGGGGGAGGGGAGGCAAGGAAGAGGGACGAAGGAGGGAAAAAAAACGAGACAACAACAACAGGGAAAGACAGAACGGGGAATTAATCAGAAGAGAAGGTAACCTTAGGTTAATTGGCTAAATCTGTCTTTCAGGCAGATGCAAAGAGGCAGAGTGATACAAGCCTGCTCAGGGATATGTGGAGAATTTCCAGCCTCAACTGTTGCTGCTTCCCCTCCATTAAAGGGGAAATTGGTTCTTCCATTCTGGAAGGAATTTTTGATTGGCTGTGGTGGTGGAGGGAGACAATACGGTGGCAGGTTCTAATACCTTAGCATGGAAACATGCCCAGGTTGGGCCCATGCCACTCACTGGCAGGACTTGACCACGCTGCCTCATGACACCGTTTACAGGAAGAAACAGGCCCTCCCTCTTCACATGGCTGTCTAGTTCCCCAGGGCTTCCTGCCCAGCTTCCATGCACACATGGAGCTCTTGGCTTGGCATCGAGCACAGGGGTGCTACGAGCCTTTCCAATGGCCTGCCATGGAAACGCACTGAGCAGTGCTCGAAAGCTGGGGTCAAACAAAGCCAAAGCCATGCGGCTTAACTGTGCTCTAAGCAGGAGGGTGAAAAACTGGCGAACTTGTGAGGGTGCATTGAACAGCCATGTGGAGACAGATGCCTGTGGAAGCACGCAGGCAAGTTGAATAAGACATCTGATTAAAATCTAATGATTAAAGTCATGAGAAAGCCACAGAGTTATTTATAGACCACCTGCTCAGATAACACTAAGAACTGGAAAGAAAATTTAAGCTTTAGAGGATTATAATGCAATCACCAGCATCTTAAGAGAATGGGTAAGGAAAGAATCAGTAATATCATCTCATTAATTTGACAGTATAAGCAGATGTGTGGCAGGATTTACTAGGTTAAAGGTTGTCTCTCTGCAAGAATGGAATGCATGCAGCCCATAGGACAGGGGACAGGAACAGAAACAGAAACAGAACCATACCTGGTACTGCCTAGCCCTTAGTTACAGGTCATTCACTGCATCGGTTAGACACAGGAGAAAGCAGTTAACAGTTAAGAGAAGCTGTCAGCCAGTGTTAACTAGGGACATGGAAAGGAGAGGCCAGCACCACCTGGCCCAGACCCCATAACTTATCTTTTGAGCAGGGCCATTTAATCCAAGCCCTGCAGTTCTCTCTAAGGTGTCCATCTGTTATAGGAAAATTGGGGTCTGGAAAAAACAGACATGGAAGTGAGAGCCTAGAGCCTGATTCTTAGTGTCTGACCCCAGTACAAGCCTCGCCATGTAGCGGCCTGGCCTTATCTCCTGTGAGAGAGTGCTATGTTGCAGGAAAGAACACTGGCTGTGAAGTCAGATGTGGGTTCAAGCTCAGGCTTTATTATCATGTAACCCTCATCTATAAATTGGGATGACTTCTATATCTCACAGAGGTTATGAAGATTATTACACCAATCTACAAAGGGACTTATGAGGCATTTAATAACTGCAGTGAATATTTAATGCTAAGCCTGTAATTAAATATATTCCAGCTAATTCACTTTACAGATAAGGCCTTGAGAGGTTATGTGATTTGCCCAAAGACACATTAAAGTCCCTACATGTTTCATGGTTTAGTGAATCAGGTCACTCTTCCACCTCTGAGACTACACCTCTAAGCAACGCAATTAGAGAGGAGATGTGTGGAGAGACCCATAAACACACCAGCAGCCACTCTAGAGGTGACTGGTTCAAGGCCCACTGTTTCCTAGGAGAGAGAAAGCACCTTCCCAGCACTGGGGCGATCCTGATAATAGCTCAGGGTACCCGAACATCAGAACAGCAAGCTTATCTCACAAATGGGTGGCCCACCCGCCAGGGCCAGGGTACAGATTTCACAGGGATAGGATTTCATCATGGGGAAATCCACAAAGGATGCTGAAGACAGCCCAGAAGACAACTTTAGTTAAGACATCTCAGTTCACCATTGAAAAGAAATTAAATTATAAATGACATGTCTTCTCTAGAAGCTAGTTAAGCCTAATAACTGGACACACAGAACATAGGAGAAAAGGAAGATACCTAGTCCAGAGGTTATTTTTTGGGGGTTGTTTTACGTTTGAGGGAATGCAGGAAAGGTGTCACACAAAGGGCATGGGGCCCTTTGTTGACTGAAAGGGAGTAGGAAGGTTAAAGAAAAACCATTTCAGGATAAGATGCAAGTTCGCTGAGCTACACATTATAAACACTGACCTAGGACTATTGTGGGCAAGTTAATTTGTAGCACTCATTTTCTCAGGCATGAGTAACCCTGATAGCTGAGATCCCTATGTTAACTCTTCAGTAAGTTCTAGAGCAGGAGCGGACAGGGCAGAGGATCCGAGTGTCAAGCTGTAAGAAACAGCCTGGCAGTGGGACATGGTGGAGCAGAAGAGCCTCGAAAACCTAGTTAGCTCCCTGGGGGGAAAAAGAAAAGTCACCTCCAGGACCAGCAATCTTTCCACCTGTCTCTATTTGTAAACCTGTCACCTTTCACTTAAACCCCACATTTTAGTCTGGGGCGAGTGCAACAGCTCAGCACAGCACGTCCAGCTGCAGGCACCATGCAAAGCAAGTTCACAGTCAACTCAGTGTGGACAACAGCCTCCAGTGCAGACCCAGAGGCCCTGTGGGGGAGGCACCTATCTGTAGGACAGGTGGGGAATCAAAATGGAAGCCAAACAAAGAGGATGGCTAGGCGCAGGAGGCCTTACAGTAGGGCAGAGGTACTCAGGTCCTCTGGGCTGTCCAAAGGAAGAGGTACAAGTATCCTGGTACTTGAGCCAAGGGAAGGAGTCAAAGTGATTGGGTTACGTCTTATGAAGGAGAACATCTCCAGAACAGAAGGAAACAGAAAGGGGGCTATGGGCAGGGAAGGCAGAAGAGAAAAAAAACAAAAGGCATGCCCCCCCCAGCACCCCCACTCACTCTTACTGTGATTTGAAGGATAATAAAAGATGTCGGTGCATAAGCCTAAAAGGTATGGCTCTGGTACCAGGGCTGCCTCCACCCCAGCCCAAGCCCAAAACCAAGCCTGGGAGACTGGCAGGCCCTAAGAACTCACCAGGTGTTGCATGCGGACAGCCTCCAGGGGGTAGTCCCCTTTGGCTGTCTCTCCAGACAGCATGATGCAGTCAGCTCCATCCAGGACTGCATTGGCCACATCACTGCCCTCAGCCCGGGTGGGACGGGGCTTCTTGATCATGCTCTCCAGCATCTGGGAGGGGACAGAGCATTAGTGAGACGTGGCCTGGGCTGTCTTCAGAGATGAATGACTGCAAGCTGACTCCCTGGATAGTGTACGTACACACAGTATGACTTTGTGTAGGTACACAGGGGGAAGGGGACATATGTGTGTATGTGTTTGTGATGCAGGGAAGGGTACATGGAAGACATCAGTGCAAGCATGTGTAGTGAGAAGAGGCACATGCCTGTGTGGCACAGATGACAGGCTTCCCAGCTCGGTTGCACCGTCCGATCATCATCTTTTGAGCAAGGAAGACCTTCTCTGCAGGAATCTCAATGCCTAGATCACCACGAGCCACCATGATCCCATCACTGGCTTCCAGTATCTCATCAAACCTGATGGAAAGGTAGAGAGAGATTATGTATAACAGGGGCCACCAGTATGGTGATGCAAAGGAACTTTTACTGGGATTCTCTGACTTAGCTGTCCTTGCAGAACAGCCATCCATGATGTCACCATGGATGCATGGAGGTGGGAGGGCATTCCAGCTACCTCATTCCCCCAGAGTAGCCCAATAGTTCAGCCTGCTGAGTTTCTTCAACACTAGAACGGATACTTCACTGGGGACACGGGAGGGGGCAAGATTTGCTCTCAAGTCCCACAGGCTCATTTCTTCTCTATCCGCATTTTATGAGGCCTCATGAAGTTTCTCTGCCATCTCCATCCAGTCAACACTTCCAAGGCAGAAAGGAAACCTAAGACCTGCTTATAGCTCCCAACACAAAGGTCCATAGCGTCTTCCATCCAAGGACACCTGAGGGCTGCTCCTTGAGGCGGCCCCTCCAACTTGCTGAGGGAAAGAGGACATACAGCTCTGCCTGGCCTGGGGCCAAGGTCAGCTGGCTTATTTGAATGGCAGAGGGAGGACCCCCAAACTGCCTAATACAAAGGACATTTACATAAAACCAAGGACGGCAAGGCCACAACAGTGGGTAGGCTGCTCCTTCCACCTTCCACCAGCACACGCCCAATCCACGTGAGGTCTAGGGTTTCAGCTGCACTGAGTTGTGTTTTTAGTAGGAAACCAAGGAATAACAGATGTCATGAAGCTGGCCACAATCATTTAGCTCTAGCTGGTGAGCACCGGGGAGGTGGGGAGCTGAGCTGGGACAATCTAAGCCTAAAAGGGCTGATACCATGCCAGAGCTAGCCCATCATCCAGCCAGCTGCTTTCTAAATGAAGACTAGGAAGCTACGATCTTTAGCACCAACACCAGGCCCTGAGCTTCCACATGGCCCCTTCCTAAAAGCCTGCTGCCTTCCCTACTGGTAGTCCCCTCATTCCAGCAAACACAGGTAGTGCTCCTGATTAGGCATATAGCACGACTTCTGACCCTGTGAACAGTGACACTGTCCTCTCCAAGGCCAGTACCTGGGTCTCTGGAACCATGTCAAGATGCTGGCATCCAAATCACCTAGAAAGCTTTTTAAAAAATACTGTACCAATGCCTTCCTCTCCTCCCCTTTGGATATTCTGGTTCGCTGGGTCTGGAACAAGTTCAGGAGTCTGAATTCTGATGCACAGGCAGCCAGGTACTCACAGGGTAAACCTGGCTCTTCAGAGAGCAGGGCTGGGGTGGAAGGAGGCGGGGACAGACAATGGGGCACTCACCTGCGAACTCCTTCATGATTTTCAATTTTGCTGATTATCTTGATGTTCTTTCCTTTTTCTCCCAGGACCTTCCTGACTTCATGGACATCAGATGCCTTGCGAATGAAAGACGCAAACACCATATCTACATCCTGCTCTACCCCAAACTTCAGATCCTGGATGTCCTTTTCTGACACAGCAGGCAGGTCCACTGCAGCCCCAGGGAGATTCACACCCTTCTTGCTGCCCAAAGAGCCACCATTCTCCACCTCTGTCAATAGGAAGTCAGCACCTGTGTGAAATAGAGTAGATGAGGATGCAGGGCAACGGAAGCAGTGTCCTCAACAGGAAGGGAAGAAACGAAAAGCTGCTGTCTCTATCCCCAGTACAGTGAACTGGAAAGCAGTACATCATGGGCAGTGGAGCCATACTGCCAGAGTTCAAATCCCAATTCCATTGACTATAACCTTGGGCAAGTCAATTAGCCTCTCTGTGCCTCAGTTTCCTTACCTGTTAAACAGGAATAATATCTCCTCATAAGATTATTTTAAAATTTAAACAAATTATCATGTAAAATGCTTAGAATAGTGCCTGGCACTCAAATATGAGCTATCATTCCCAGACACACTGGAGTCTTGTACATATTACATTGAGGGACAGAGGAAGCAGAAAGCTCAAAGTAGTGAGGATGCATAAAAAGAAATCTTCTCATATATTCCCCAAGAGCATGATTAAGCAGGACCCAACTCTGTTTTTGAAGATAAGGGGCTATAAAGGGAATTCCTGAGAATACAGACTCAATCTTGCTGCCAGTCAAATAAGCTACCTCTCTTCCTTGTGGAAATTTAGAGATGGGAGCCTGTTTTAGACATACCTTTCTCCTTCACCTTCAGAGAAATAAGTCCATCATCCACGTAGATCTTGCTGCCCACTTCCACCACCTTGCAAATGTTCTTGTAGTCCAGCCACAGGGTGTTTTCATCACACTTTTCCATGTAGGCATTATCCAGAGTGATCTTGAGAGTGGCCCCTTTCTTCAGCTCCACCTCTGCGGTGCCGCTCTGCAGACAAGAGAGTAAATCACCAGTCCAAACTTCAGAGGCCAGGCAGGCCCTCCTGGCAGGGAAAGAAACACTTTCCTCCAGGGAACAATGCTCAGATCTCCGGTAGAAATAACAATAAAGCTTTTTCCTTGGGGAATAAATAATCATATTGTCTAACTTAGTTTATTTTAAGGAAATAACCCCAGAAAAACCTACAATATTCTAGTTATGCTATTTAATGATAGGGGAAAAGAGACAAATTGCTCCCTAAAGGTAGAGATTTGGAAGTAGTTTTTTTAGAGTAAAAAAGATTCCTTTTTGGTATTGTTCCTTAGCCAAGTAGATTAAATCAACATTTTTACACTGATGAATAAAACCTTCATTTATACACCTAAACTCTGAAGAATGTGGCTTCCAGCAGGGCAGAGATAGCTGAGGACCTCTCTGGGCCCCCAACTCCTTCACCTTCCCTCTCGCTTTTCTCCAGGATACTCACGCCCTTGATGAGCCCAGTTCGGATCTCAGGTCCTTTAGTGTCCAGGGCCACAGCAACTGGACGGTAGAGGATGGGATCAGAAGCAAAGCTTTCAGTAGCTGTGCGCACGTTCTTGATAGTCTCTGCATGGTACTGGGGGAAAGAGGGAAAGTGATAAGTGTCCTCCCACACACTAGGATCTAGCGCCAGAGCGGAAGCTGATCACTTAGGAAAGACCCGTGGATGTTCTAGACCCCCCCATCATCACCTAGTCTCAGAACCATTCATGCACTGAGCAACCTCCCTGCTTATTTCCTCCTTGGCTTCCACTCACTTCTACCACAGCACTCACTCACTCTGAGGGCAAATCTTAGAAACTTTTCAGAGTATTGCCACCAAAAACCATTAAAGGCATGGGTATAACCACGTGTCAACATAAAGAAGCCTGTGTCCCCTCAGTGGTTCTCTTTTCCTCAGAACTCATCAAATAAAGCAGACAACAGGAATAAAAGGCCCAGGCTTGTGTTTGGATAATACTGGTCTGTCGATCAGTGCCAGGTGCTGAATAGATTTGGTAATTCTCAGCTTTTCCTCTATTGATTCCAGCTACAATTCAAACTCAAAGTTATTTACTTAGGCTAACAGTGGCCTGAGCTATATAAATGGTGGCCTATTCCTAAGATCATGCAGGCCTATTTTCACAATCACTTTCTAGAGTCTGATTAGAGATGGAAGTGGAATAGGGAAAGTTGGGAATATGCCTTTCTCTGCCCTTTGCTTTTTTATTTCTCACTTGCAACAAATCCTAACTTCAATCTTCTTTCTTAAGCCCTTCCTCTTTTTCCACTTGCCGTTACTGTTTGACTCAAAGCTAAGATGTCCAAAGTTCTTAAACAGTGTAATCAATATGACATTGCTGATAACAGAGGCAACCAATTCAGCACTTTGCAGGCCTTGTCCTTTAACCACTACTGTCCAGGAGAGCAAGTAGCACCTGCAAGTAGGAGGCCAGAGAGGAGCTGAACTAGAGCTTAATGGCCAAGCATGGTGTTGCCTAAAGCTTGTGTCTGAAAATCTTTATCTTCTAATTCAGGCATACTCTAAAATGAGGACCACTGGCTTTTTTGGAGGTTGAGTCCACACTGTAAGTTATGAAAATTTTCTTTCTGTTGCTGGCTTGCGATAAAATAGTACAGAATAGAATATAGAAATAGATTAAAGGAATGGGTGTTGAATACTGTCAAATACCTTTTCTTCAAAGTTGATGTGAGGAGTAAGGGAATACATGAAATACTTAGAAAGAAATGAGCACAAAGTAATTACTGAATGAATGTTACCTACTATTATCACCATCTTATTAATCCCAATGTGAACTGTGTGTCTAGAATAAAATTTACTTGGTCTTGGGTCATGACTTTAATGCACTACTGAATTTGGACTGTTAAATTTTATTTATGTTTTCCGCATCTTTCTAAGTGAGACTGGTCTAGAGTACTAACCTGTCTGGTTTTGGCACTGTCCTTGTCTCATCTCAGTATCAGGGTTTTAAAGAACATATTGGTAAGATTTCTACACTTCTCTAGGCACTGGAACAGAATAACAAAGGATTTAACTATTCCTGATGGAAAGACACAATTCAACCATCAAAATCATTTGGGCCTGGTGTTCTGAGCAGAGGTAGATCTTAGTCATTTTTTCATTTTCTCAAGACTGCTCGTTTATTAATATCTTATACTTCGTGGAAAATATTCAATTTCATGTCAACAGGAAATAGTCCCTTTTCTGTGCATCCTCAGCCTTGACCAGGCTTTCCAGGGGTTTCCGCTCTACTGGTTTTTACCTTTTTTTTTAGCCGAAAGAATCAGCTCTTGGCTCCACTTGTCAAATTTATTTTCTAGTTCATTAAACTATGCTTTTAAATCAATTCCTTTCCTTCACCCTTTTAAAGTTATTTCAGTTTTCCCCCCTAGTGTTTTGTATTAAATATGTATTTATTTAATTTACTTTCAGACTCTTGCTTTCTAATAAGGCATTTAAGTTTACAAGTTTTCTGATTACTAGCCTTTGTTCTCAATTTTCATAAAAAGATAAGTCAGAGAATGTGACTTATATAATTTCTACTTTATGAAACTTGCTTTTTAGTAGCTTAATATGTTTTTTAAACATTAGGATTTTAAATAAACATGCATTTATGTCTTGGAGACAAAATCATATACACATATCAATTACATCATTAGGTATTACATTCCTCAAATCCACTATGCTGTCATGTTTTGGTATATTTCTGGGAGGTGTACTGAAGTCTTCCACTATGGCTGTGGTTTTGTTGGATGTTACCAAGTGGTAATGCATTCCACCACTCAATGCTGTCCTTGTGGAAAGTTTTAAATTTAGGTTGGTTAAGTCAGTATTTCTGGCCAACATGGCATTATGGGACCACACGTTCAGTAAAAACACATCTTGCCTGTGTGAACTGATCAAAGTGGGGGTTAGAGATACCGTGCTAAAGCTGTGAAGAGGTCAAATGCACGCAAGGAATATTCCTCTGTCAGAGTGAGGGAGGAGAAGCAATTTCAATGTTCTGTTTAGAAGAGTATTTAAAATGTTAAGAGCCCCAGCTGCTAGTCAAGAGCCATGAAGCATGGTCAAACCATAACTTGTTTACATTATATAATACTAGAGCAATTTCACATCAGCTTCCAAAACCCAGATCCCAGGGAAAACCTCATCCTGGTCAAAAACCTAAAATAAACCCACACGAGAGATTTGGGTTTTTGTGGGGTTTTTCTTTCAATTCCAATTCTAATCTGTAAATAAGAGTTAAAGAACAGATTATCTCCAAATGCCTAATGCAGTTAACAAAAACCCAACAACACCCAAATCCCTGAGCCAGCCCCACTCCAACAGGTGCAGCAGACAGCACTTGCCCTTGCCATTTCAGGGCTGTGTGGTTTTATTTTACTGGATGCAAGAGGCTATATCAAGCCTAGTTAAAGGTCAATTTCTTAAAATCTATTTCTGCTGCTTCCCCTGCACACAGGAGACCCTGAATCCCTGATCCAGCAGCAAGGATCCATAGTGAACCCATCTTCACTGAAGTCTTTAGCTCTCTTTTTGGGCTAAGCTAATACTTGTAGTAATTCCTGGTGACTCCTGCAGAGGACCCCACCTTTGGAAAATTACAGAATGTCATGGCGTGTCTTAACCTGCCTGAGGTGCCTGCTGAGCACAGGTCTTAACTTAGTTAGGCCCCTATGACATTTGGAGGCCAGCCACCTGCCAGGCCATAGGCTGTTTATGGAAACAGGTTACAGAACCTGATAAATGGTCTCATGTTTCCAGAGAGGAGAAAATCACCTCCTAGATTGCTCTTCCTGAGGCTTTATTTTTAGTCTAAACTCAACACCAACTTCCAAATGCCAGAGGGCAACCCCTCGCCCCATGCCTTTACAGGGCAGCATTTCCTTTACTCTGAACAGGAAATATAGAAGTGAAGAGTGGAGAAAGTTCGCCTCACCCCTTACTCCTTATCAATGTCAGTGTGAAATCCCAGGGCCTATGGTTGAGCCCGAAGGCTTTTATTTTTATTTTTTAGAGAGAAAGGGGAAAGGAAAGGGAGAGACAGAAACATCGATGGGCTGCCTCCAGCACACCCCCTACTGGGGATGGAGCCTGCAACCTGGGCATGTGCCCTGACAGAGATGATGCTCAATTCACTAAGCCACACTGGCCAGGCAAGCCTGAAGGCATTTAAAAGGCACTGTGCCTCAGGGAGGCCCTATACCCCTCAAAAGGAGCTTGTTCTGATCTTAGGAAAAGCAGCAGGAATGGAGGACTTCCCAATAGCTGCCACTTGGTCCCTGGGTAAGGTCAGTTTCCACAGGTCAAGTCAGCTCATAAACAGCCCCAACACTAATACAATCCTACTAGGCTCCTGGGAAAGTGTTTTGACTTAGTTTTGGTTTGTCACTGCATTATGAGCCATTACAGAAACGCTGGGTGGGAGTGTCTAGCCCTATGGCCAGGGCACCTAATGGCTGAAAGAGGTTTCCAGTAGAACCTTTCCACTTTCCTTTGTGAGGACTAATGGTAGTCCAGGTGTGTGGGAGAACCATGGCCAATGACAGAGAAAGTCTTTAAGGAGATGTCGCCAGTTGAGATGGTAGAAGGGGAAAGGAGAGTAGGGATAGGCTTGTGAAGGCCACCTTCCCACTGGCTGTAACCCCAGACTCGTTCTTGCCTGGTCCCATTGCTAAATAAACAATGCAAGAGATTCCAAGATGGCGGTGGACTGAGTGGAAGCTACAATGACACTCTCCCAGAACCAAACTGGAGTTAAAACTAAAATACAGAAAAACCATCCTGAATAATCAACCGAAGACTAGCTGGTGAGCACCCTCATAACCAAAGATCTAAAGTGGAGACCACATAGAGACTGGTAGGAAGTGAGGAGGCACAAGAGGGCTGGCTAGGTTCCCATGGGCAGCAGCTGAAGGTCCAGAGGGATCTCTCAGCTTTTATATCCCACTGAGAACTCTGGGGTCTAAACCCCAAGCTGGGTCCTCAGCCCAGAGCACCAGAACTGAGAAAGGTACTCACATAACATCTGACTGTAAAAAGCACAGGGTTTCTGTCTGCAAGGGAGATGGCTGGAAATGAAGGCACCCTCTTAAAGGGCCAGTGCACAAACTTTCCTGTGCAGCCACTCACCTACAGCAGAGGGAAGTCAGAGTGGACTAGAGCAGTGTGAGGAAAATCGAGGGCAGCTGGCTGGGGTAACAGATCTCAGAGGGCACCCATTTGAACCCCAGTGTTGAGCCATCCCCCCATATGATCTTTCTCAGGCAGACATTTTCCTTCCAAGCAGTTTTTTGCTTGGGGGGAAGCAACTGTTCCACCCTGTTGGAAAACCTCCAGCTCCACCCTGTGGAGCTTCTACAGGCTGAGGCTCATTAAGAGACTAAATAACAGCCTCTGGGTGCTTTGAGTCTTTGGCTGATTTGCTTCTGGACCCAGGGCTTGAAAAAGCAGACCTTGGTGCACATCTCAGTCTTGTCCAAACACACCCAGCCCCAGTAGAGGCAATCAGAAGCTGTGGAGTGTGAAAAAGTTCAAAAAGGGTACTCAAAGCAAGTCACAAACAGCACCTGACA